GCTTAAAAGTCTGTACCTAGCCTTTATTTTTGTAATCGTTGGCCATAATCATATGTTTCCAATTACAGAAGTGTTTTAAATGATAAAAATATTCATGTTTTGGCAGAGTCAAATAAAAAAAAATTAATTTTGTACAAATAGGGAAACTTACCTTTTAATACAGTATTATTTATATTTGGGAAAGTTTTACACTTGGTTATGAAAAAATAAGAATAGTTTGACTTCCGTACAACAAAATTGACCAGGATATTTAATTTCAAAATTTGTAATTTTTTGTGACACTTTCAACTTGCCTTGAAGATTTGTTAATTAAGTTAAAATAACTCAAGAAAATATGTGTAAATGAAGTGGAGCAAAAAATTATATAATTTAATGGGCTGTACAAGGAAGTCATGGTATCCACATCAGATTTAGTGGAAGTACTGTCAGATATTTACAGTGCAAAATCAGGGTTGATTCTGCTTAATGATTGCAAACAATTGGGTTTAAGTTATTCAATTTTGGTATAGAAGACTAGGGCTAGCTGCCTTAGCTGCATCTTGATTTTTATTAGTGAATCGCAAAGAAATTCTTATTTAGGATTCGAGCACTCAGTATGGACTGCTGTATTGGTATGGTACAAGGCGAAGAGAGTCTGACTCAGTAACCAAGAAGGGCAAGAACACTTGGGAACGTTTAGGTGGCTTATCTCTAATTGTTAGGTATCTTATTGATTCATTGTGACACTGCTGAAACCCAAATATCCATTCAAGTGTTGGAGTTTTGATACTAGAAAATGGCATGTTTACCATGCTTACCCAGTTCTTATTTGAAAATCTGCAATTTTATTCTATTTTCCTAGGAGGAAAATAAAATTCGAAGGTAAAAATTTTGTTTAAAGAGGTTCAGGAAGAATAAATTATTTTAAAAACCTGAAAAGAGTTCTTTCAGAAAGTGTTCAATGGCAGAATTGCTGTGAATGTTTCATCAGCCCCAAAAAAGACTGTTTTTGAAGAGAATGCTAGCTGCTAAAATCTCACATTAGAAAGTGTTTTAATGGAGACATTTAGAAATTCTGGAAAAGTAGTATATAATTATTCATGAAAGAAGAAGTTATTCATTATTGAGAAACTAGCCAAATTGTACTGATAATCTGTAGTCTACTAATACAGGAAAATTGCTTTTTTACTATAATTTTTTTTATTAGTACTTTTTTAATGAAAAGTTGGGAACATGTATTTGTTTATATATCATATGTTAAAGTATTTTCATGCTATAGAGCGATAAGTTAATTAAAATATCACGAAATAATGAATCACACTTTAATATAAACATTTTTTAGACATTACTTGCATGTTAAAAAAGTCTAAATTTTAATCAGCTTATTGTTATATCATATATTCGTTTTTTGCCCCATTTTTCCTCACTCAAATCAAGTTATTCTGATTACGAAGGATTTCTGGAATATCTGTAATTTATGAAGTGTCTTATCATATTGTATTCATTTAGACAATTTATATACAGCTGAGCCTCTGGTTCGCAGATGTGTTTAGGATGAAAGCTTATGTCTTTTAGTATAGAGTGTTTGCTAAATGGGAGAGCATTGATTTTTCAGCTTTAAGACTTTAACGATTTAGAAACTGTTTCTTAATAAGGGATTTACTAAAATGGAGTATCCATTTATAAATGTATATGTACATGCAAGATATAAAATGTCTAACTCAAAATTATAACTTAAATTAGCAATAGCCTGTAATCCTTACTTTTATTTGAATATCTCTTTTCTATTCTAAAAGTAAAAATTGTTTATATTAATTTTTCTAGAATGAATCTTTCCAAATCAATCCACATCATGCCATCTTATGTAAGCATAGCATTGCTGATATTTTTCAGCAGTCAAATTAAAGAACCTTTTAACTATTTTTCTGAACATGCATTTACTTTCCTCCCTTTTTCACTTAGCCTCTGCTCTTGCTAAGATGTGCTATTCATCTCTGCACTGTCATGTCCATTGTCTAAAGATGTAGTAAGTTATATAAAATTGTGGAGTGCATAGCACTCCCATAGCTATAAAGGAATAAAATTATATGTTGAATTTACGACCACTCTTTTCAAGTGTCATCCTTATAGCTATGCTGTGAAAAAAGTTATTACATATAATGAAAAGAACCATCATTAATCCATTGCAATTATTCCCAATAGTGGATTTAGGAAGTTGTATTGCGTTGTTAGAATGATGGCTCATTGTGTTAACTTGGTCAGAGCTGGTGGCTTCATAGTGCATAATGGAAAAGAAAACTTGCTGACATGGTCGTAGATTCAATTTAGTTTTATTCCTGAATAAAGAAAGCCTTGAGGTTCATAATCAGGTGCACACATTGTCATGGGTGTAATGTGCACCTGCCAATAGCATACATTTTCAGAGATTGGATGATTGATAGCAGAGGCAAACAACATGTCTAAGCAACAGCAAGGTACAAATTAAAATGCAGAATTACAGTGCTTTTACTAATTTAAATTAGAATTTTGAGTTGCATATTTTATATCTATATGTAAATCTATATCTGTCTATTTATCTATACACTTATTTAAGATTATACGTGTAAGATATGTATATAATATGCACATATATATATATATACATTTAAGAATAGGTTTAGTTTTTGTAAAAAAATCTTTCATATTATTCTAATTTTTTTCACTCAAATAGTCAAAAAGAACAAAATCTGTTTTCAGAACTCTTTAATTGTTCTTGTTTAATGTTTTAATTAATTACCCTCTGATAAATCTGATTGGACCATTAGGATGAATAGTTAATTTACATTTAGTCTTTTATTTTAAAAGAAAATTAAATTAAAAAAATTAATGGCTATTTGTTAAAAAATTTATAAAAAAGTCTTGCAGATTATTCTAATTTTGTTCACTCAAATAGTCAAAAAGAACAAAACCTGTATTCAGAACTCTTTAATTGTTCTTTAATGTTCTTGAATAAACAAAAAATTTTAGAAATACTTAGACATATGAGCTTCTATTGTTATTCCTTTTACTTGTTTAAAAAGTTGATTGTCAAATTTAATGTAATTATTTAATATAGTGTAGTGAAGGAAGTTTTTCCATTTTTTTCCATCCAAGTTATTATTGATAATCCAAGAAAAATAATGTTCTCTGTTACAAGTAGTGAAAATTAAGTTGCATATCTTTTCAAGTTGTTGTGCAAATGCATAGTCTCTATTTTTCTTGTAACTATTAGTGCAATTTGCTGTGAATTTGAATTTAATTGGGGATTTATGAAACTTATGAAGAGCATAAAGGTTAGCAATTCTGTTAAATTTGAGTATGATAGAAAGATGAGTTTTATATGAAGTTTATTAATTTTGTTTGTTATTGTAGTCTAAGCTGTGTTAGTTGGTAAATATTGACTTTATTAAATTCTGTTTGAAGAATTTTTAGTAAAATTTTCAAATAATACTGAAATTATTATTTGCTTTATCTATTTTAGTGATTGTAAATTATGTTTTTAAATTTTTAACACTAGATAAAAGTTTGGATCAATTTAAAATACATACTAATAAATTTTAAAAGTTTGATTTTGGGTTTAATTTGTTGAAATACTTCATCCTTCCATTTCAAAAAGTAAACTTAAGTTGCAAGCTAGTCTTTAATATAAATTCGTTAATGTTATTTTCTATATTTTTAAAGCAAAATTTTTTATTGATGTATGTGACAGCTCTGTATTTTGTTCCGTATTTCATTAATTTTAAAAGTTGTAAGTTTTCGATGATATCCAAGTTTCCTGTAATTATGTGTTGGTGGTAGGAATCAACAACGGGAAGTAATTGTGATAATTTTCAGTACCATTCTGGTGGTTCATTTAGTTCACAGTGATTAGTAAGCAAACTGCTTAAGGTTTTTTGATATTTAAATGCTATAACTGGTAAGGTTATCAGTTGTTGAGAAGAAAATTTTACAATTGTAGAGAATGTGGGATAAGTGTAATTGTTTAAATTGTGGATGCAGAAAATTAATTTTAAGGTTTTTTTAGCTTTAGAGAATGTGTATTTACAATAATATAAAACTCGGTCTTTAATAATTTGTATATCTGTGTATTCTGAAATAATGTACTTTTCAAGGAGTAGAAGGGACTTGTTGTTGCAGGAATGTAGGACAAAGTTTTTTTAAAAAGTTTTTTTTTTTTTGGGGGGGGGGGCGGAAGGAAAGGCAGAATTAAATAAATTTTGGAATAGTGCTTTTAATTTAGGTTTATGTATAGTAGGTAAGAATTTTTGGTTGTGAAGGCCTTTTCTCTGCTGTAAAGTTTAAATTGGCTGAAAATGGTGCTATTGAGTTATTTTTGTTGACTTGTATATAAGTATTAAATCCATAAGGATAGAGTGTACAAAGTTTATATATACACACACATCCATATATGTAAATCAATTAAAATTATAATTTAAATGAGCAAAAGCCCCTTAATTTTTCTTTTTAATCTGGGTATTTCTCCTCTCTATTCTAAAAACAGTAATATTTTCCCCCTGGATTGCAGCATTTCTAGAATAATCCATAACATTTGGCTTTTACATGATGATGATGATGATGTAGTTAATTCAGAAATTAAACCAAAACTCTTCTCTTAATAAGCCTCCATATTGGGTAACTATGCACTTTGCTTTCTGCCCCTTAGCCTAGATATATTGCTGCTTCTCTTCATACTTTAAAGCTATTAGAAATGCAATATACTTGAAATAGGTATGATTAGAGCGTGCCAGTTGTGGCCACAAATGTCAATTGAAATAAAAAGGAATATTTAATCCGCCTTGGCTGCCAAGTTTGCTCTTTAATATGGATCAACATCTCTGCTATCAATAAATCCACAACTTATTACATTATTGCTGAAATTGTATTTTTTTTTTTATATACATATTTCCCTCTGACTTATATATCTACACACATACATCCAAGGATGTGGAAAAAATTATAATATGAGTTTCATGTTTAATATTCAAAGTTTTTTTTATTTGTAGAGAAAAGGGATCGTCTGAAACTCAGCTTTAACAGTTCTTGCACTAGGAAAAATGCTTCATTGTCTAATTTCTCAGGTTGCCATCCTCCTCCTGTGTATGTATATATTTTTTATGGTTATTTTTATTTAATAGTATAACACGAATTTTTATGCTGTTTAATACATTATCTGATATGTGATATGCATTTCAATGAGATTATGTTTCTTTGTATAAAGAATTCATAAATAGTTACAAGATTCTTTTTAATGCCCAAGTACTAATAATATCTCTAGTATTAGAGTGGGAGAGAATTAATAAAATAACTTCAAAATAAACTGCTCAAAACAATTAAATGATATTGTAAGTTTTATATAAAAATAAAGATATAAGCGAATTTTTTTTTTTTTTTTTGCCGAAAATGGAAGAAGAGAATCACAAATGCAAATTTTTCTGATTTTTCAAAAGTGTGGAGTATGCTAATTTTGAGTTCGACGTCAAAAACGTTGCTTCAGCGGCAGAGAATGAAATTTGACTTTCAACTGAATAAAAGACAACGAAGACAAGGATGATCGGCATTCAGTTACTGCTTTGTTTTGATGAGTACGATGTCTCAGCGAAGTCATTTAACCAATTCAGAAGCTTGGAGAGTTGTTGGTAGGTTAGAAGGGGGCCAAACTCAAGCCGAAGTAGCACAAGCCATTGGAGTGTCACAAAGTGTGATTTCCAGGATCTGGAACCATTTTTTGGAAACTGGAAGTGCAAGCTGAAGACCAGGGCAAGGTCGTAGACGGGCAACAACGCCCAATGAAGATTGTTATTTAGTGTTAACGGCTCGGAGACACCGAAATATGAATGCTACTCTTCTCCAACAACACCTTCGCTCGGCTACTGGCACCACGGTTTCAACTCAGACTGTCCGAAACCGGCTCCATGGTGTAGGTCTGTATGCTCGCTGACCGATGGTATGTGTTAGACTAACATCAAGGCATCGTCGCGACCGCAGGGAGTGGGAAACAGAGCATGTGAACTGGAGGACAAATGAATGGAGCAATGTTCATTTTTCTGACGAGTCCCGTTTTTCTGTTCATCCTGATAATAAGTGTATTTTCATCTGGAGGGACCGTGGCAGTAGGAATAATCCGGCGTTTGTGCACGAAAGTGTCAGATTTGGCGGTGGGGGAGTGTTGGTGTATGGTGGCATCTCCATTGACGGGCACAACACAGACCTCAACATCATTCGAGATGAACCTCTGACTGGTCGCCTATATAGGGATGATATCCTCAGACCTATTGTAGTCCCTTACGCTGCAGCAATCGGAGATGACTTCATTTTAATGGATGATAACTGCAGGCCACATCGTGCTAACCTGGTGGAGGATTTCCTTTTCGAGGAAGAAATCGTACGAATGGAATCGCCATCGTGTTCTCCAGACATGAATCCAATAGAGCACGTTTGGGATGCTCTAGAAAGATGAGTTGCTGGCCGCCAACCCGCCCACAAACTCTCCAAGAACTGGAAAGAGCTCTTCTGGAAGAGTGGGACAGAATACCCCAACTCGTGAATAATAGCCTCATTGACTCCATGCCTCAAAGGTGTTCAACGTTGCTAGCCATCCGTGGAAACCATACCCCCTACTGAAAATGATTTCCTTTGAAGAAAAGACCTTTTCTTATTCTTTTTTTTTTTTCGTATATGCACAGATTGTGTTTTTTTCCTTTTGTACACAAATGTGCAATAAAATGCATTTTTTTCTGCCAAACATGTGTAATTTATTCTCATATAATCTACTACGTCTGTCGACCATGTATCAATCAGCTAAAAAGTTTCCCAGACACAAGATCCACCTAAAACCGCAATATCCTTTAATTGTTTTGAGCAGTGCATGATGCCCACCACATATTAAACTCACTGGTTAATGAACTCAATTACTTATTGTGTTCAAATTTGTTGGAGCCAGTACAAATGTGTACTAATCAATAGAAAAACCACAAATTATTAAACTCTTCTCTGCTGCTTAAAAACTCATATTGACAAAACACTGATTTTTCAGTTGCAGAATATTCTGTGTGCATCTATCAAAGCTTTTTGCAGTTCATCCATTTAACACATTATGAACCATGGCTTTATCATTCGGGTATATAATCCTTCAATAAAATGGGTCTAACCAAAATTTTCCTATCCCTGGTCCAGAACTGGATGAACATTTCAAGAGGCCCTAAGCATTTAGAAGATTTTAATGGCCTTATATACATTTCAGCTTTTTTTTTTTTTACCATTTCCTTCTTGGTTTAGCTGTACCGTACATTTCATGGTCAGATGGTAATGGGAATTTTTATGGTACCCCTTCCCTAAGTTCCTAAGCACCTCTTCATGGTGCCCTCTTTTTCTTGATGCCCTGAGCATGTGTTTATTTTACTGAATGGTTTAACTAAGCTCTGCCCTGGTGTTTGTACATGTGAGACAGTATTTTTGTGTAACATGTTCTTTGTGTGCACGGGACTTAAAAGAAGAACAAAGAATTTTTTTGTATGAAGGTTGACAAAAACAGTCCTCTAGAACTGGGTATCTGAATCTTTTAAGCCACATGCTCCCTTGTGCTAAAAGTTCTTCCCTTCTCTATTTCCAAATTTGAAAAATACTTATATATTTAGATTATTTTCAATGTGTTTTATTAATAAAACGACAAAAAGTGTAGAAATATTGATAAATTCCAAAACTTGAATAAAGGCGTGTTTTTTTCTTTTCCATAAACTATAGACAGAGCAACAAAATGAATGGATGCTTGCATTCCCCTGCCCTGAAACTATGAAATATCCTCATGAGAAACCCTGCTCTACTAGCATTGTAAATGAGTGGGACTCGTTCTCATATACCAGTTGCTAGGAGGTATAGTTACTATTCTGTTATTGAGACAGGATTCAGAAATGTATGAATATATTGACATGTGCATGTAAGTATGTGTATATGTACTATATATACACACATTTGTACTTAACATATTGACATGCATACATGAACACGTACATACATATACACATACATTCCTGAATTCGGTCCTGATAACAGAACATAACCAAGGTAGAAATACAGCTTTTCTATTTGCTGTTATAAATTTTCCACATTCAGACTTTTCTGTTTGGAATAGCTACATTATGTTTGTGGAGCGTTATAAAAACGTTCAAAAAATGCTTCTTAACATTACCATATATTAATAGTCATTGAATAAAAAAATAAATGATTATTGTAAGCTGAAGGAAAAGCTTAAGAAGTATTGGTCATGCTTATAATAATGAAGTGGCAGATCAACAATATAAGCAAAGGGTAATCTTTTTGCTGTCTGAGAATGTGAAATTTTGAAATTTGATTGAATCACTGGAAGAAGCATTTTTTAAATTTGAGTTTGATGTTCTTGGTAACTGCATGCAAAGGAAAACTTCATTTAAATTGTAGGCTTTCCAAATAGGATTGTGCAGTTTAATTAAACAAATAATTATAATTAATGAAGAACTAATAAAAATGGAAATCTCTCAAGGAAGCACAATAAAAGCAGAAAATAGAAATGTTGAAACTACTTTTCTGGAATGGTTTCAAGTTGTGAAACTAAAAAGTGTTTCTATTTCTAGAACATTTTCACTAATTTACTATATGCTAGGAGAGAATTTTGTATCATTTAACATATGGGTCAGAAGTTGGAAAAAGAGAAATCCATCATTGTTCATCAGAAACTGCATGGTGAGAAGGAAGAGGCAAATCATTATGCAGATGACAACTGGATAAAAGACATTTTATTTGGACTGCTAAATGAGTACGAGCTGCTTGAAATTGGACTTCATTACAGAATATACATTTGAAAGTGAAATGACAGCTGATGTAAGGAATTAAAGCAATGAATTAATACAGATATGGATTATGAAGTTGCTTAATGAGTAATTATGGACATAAAATTCTGTATAGAAGGGCATCTTTTGTATTCATTGAAACACATGAAAATTTCTGCCAGATTTTAATATTTCCGATCTCGGGTTGGATGTGTATTGGAAGAAAAGGAATCAAGGTGCAAAGTGAGAGGGTAATTTTTTATTTAAAATCAAGGAAGTAACATTTATTCATTACATTTTGAGAAAATTTGAAATTTCGGGGCTAAACCCGTAATGCTTGAAAGGTTAAAAAACGTAGGGGCTAATTGGTTTGTTGCAAATCTGTATCCGTTCACTGATAACTCTTGTGTTTACTCTTTCTTTTAAACATAATAATTGATAAATGAATTAAGAAGTGTCACTATTTGTAAAATCATAACAGTTGGAAATCTAAAAGTAAATTACAGCTATAATATTTAATTGTGGGCAATATTTTTCAAGGAAGCAACTAGCAAAACAGAATTCCAACCTTGGATTTTTCTGGAAAATTAGCTTTAAATCTTTTCGAAGAGCTTCAGGGAAATAACTAATGTGTAAAAATACTTGTAGTATATTAGTTTGCTGAATTAAAGATGCGTTCTGATAAGATGGAATGCCTGATAAGATGGTTCTGATGAAATGCCTATGTCTTTTTTAATATGATTTTAGATTTTTCTTAATTGAGAATTAGTTTTATTTCTTATACAAAAAATAAATCACAATAAACATTCTGTCAAATTCAATTCTGTACTGGAAAATTTGCCTTTTACTTCCAAGGAGAGACAGAGAGAGATCATTTACTGCAGTTGTTAAAGCTTTGCAATGAATGTATTTGACATTGTGTTTCAGGTCTAATCTCTGAGCTTTAACTTTATTGAGCTGCCTTGTTGATGCTTCTGTGGTGTTTTCATTTCCTGGTTCCACTTATAGCAGATAGAGTTGCATTATGTTTTGTGGATATCTCTGTGACTTAAGGGTTAAACTCATGTTCTTTAAAGGTTAGGTTATTTAATTACAGCAAAGCCGCGAGGGCTATCTGCTTAAAGGGAGGGATGCCTTCGTGGAGGACTTTCTAAGGGAAACTGTCTCGTATACATGTTACACATGGGAAAATCCACGAAAACACCCATGCAGCCGGCCCGTTTGCCGGATTCGAACCTCGGACCGAACTACCAGTGTTCAACGATTTTACCGCTCGGCTGCTGGTAAGCACTCTATAAAGGATTCACAATTAAAAAAATTTTTTTTCCATTTGATGATAGTAGTGTTATACCATATGTTCACAATAGTGCTACATTTATAGTGTTAGTCATGTATTCATACTGCATAGTCAAATCCATTTAGATCTGAGGATTTTTGGTAACTTTCAGCCATAAAGATTCATATTTGCTAGATTTGTGTGTAATTTTGTATTAGGTTGGTCTAAATCTTCTAAGACCTTATAAATATTTTACCAGGCTTTTTTTTTTTTTTCAATTTTGTTTTCAAGATTACAAACTATGCTAACAGTGAAATTTTGAAAGGTTTCTTAGATTGGTAGTATGCTTAGTTTGAATTATTAATTTTAATTATGTCTGTTAATTTCTTAAAAATGATTGCCATGTATACTTGGCGATCATTTTTATTTACACTCTTGTAACTTGAAAAATGTAGTTATAGTTTATTTTCTAAATACATTGTTTATATACTCGATATCTGTTTTTAAGAGTTTCTACAATCTAAAATGCTTTTTAGCAGAAGTGCTATAGTCTCAATTTGCACATTTTTGTCCATATCACTTTTTAAATAAGAAGATGTTGCCACCATATTCTATCACCATGTGTTGTTTTAAAGAAATAATATAGTGAATAGAAACAATTTTATGGCAATACAAATAAAAGGATGTTTTCACTAAATCTTAATGCTATATAATATTTTTATAGTATGGCAAAACTTTATCAGGAATTCTAAAGATTTGCTGCTTTTAAATATTTTGTGATTTTGCTGTTGAATTTCTATGAGGCATAAATGCAAAGAAAGTGATGGGTAATAATAAAGTTAAAAAGTTGTGTTAATAGGAGTGAGTCCAAGAGCAGATTGGTAAACTGCAAACTTAGCAAGAGCATAGAAACCTCAACAAACCCTCTGGTGCAATATTAAATCTGAATCCTGTCAATTTTTTCTCTCTCATTCTTCCTTTTCCCTCCTTTCTTTTTGGTCAGCCTAATTTAATTGTGTAACTCCAAATCCTTTAATCCATACTCTATTTTAGGTATGAGATTCTAATATTTAAACAGATTATATGGTATTTTTTTTTTTTCAGCATTTAACTTTTTAATCAGCTTTAATTCCATGTAAAATTTTATTTCTTTTCCAGTGAAAGAGGATGGGTTACGCACAGTATTCAGTCTTCTGGGAAGCTGAAAATATCACCGGAAGTTGTAAGTCCTTTTTCTAAATGAGCAAAAAAATGCCTATTGATTTATTATATATTACCCAAATGTGTAATGCTTTCTGAATTATTTTTACAAAAGCTTGAACAAAATGCTTTAGGAGGAGGAAACAAAGAAATAAAAATCTTTTGAAGCTTCTTATAAAAAGAAGCATAGATCAATGTTCCCATTCCAGATAAACACCATTTGTGAAATTATATTTATCCATTAAAATTTCAAGTAACATTCTTTACCTGATTAGAGCTTTTTTGTCTTTGTAGTCAAATTACATTCTTTGGTAGTTAAAATTTCAGTCACGTTCTTAAGCAGAATTTTTTTTTTTTTTTTCTCATGATGATATAAGGAATATTCATTTTAAGGATTATATTAAAAATATATTAGTTCTGGTGACTTAAGTTTATCATGAATTATTTAATCCTGATTTTTTACTTATGCGAACTATGTGTAATGGCTTCGTGGTTCAATAAGGCACCATTTAACAAGACGAAACAAACATTTATTAAAAAATATCGTTCAAAGCATAATAGTAAAATCAGAGCAGTACGTCGCTATTGCAGCATAGATAAATCTACTACCTTCCTCTTCTGAGGCTAACATGCAACTCCCATAAACTGCATTAACCTTTCTTGGAGAAGAGCTACACGTGCCAACCACGCTCTGTTGATCACCAAACAGTCACCAGATACTACACTATGTTTTTATATATTAATATTCTTTTTAGAGATCACAATCTCTGGCATTTATTTATGTGTTATGATATTAAGCAGCTAATCAATATTACAGTATTCTGTGGGATGAAAATATTCTTATATTTCATATTATATTTGCTAACCCAAGTGAGGACCTTATAGATTCAGGAATAACAGCTATTGTTTCTTTTCATTTGGTGATTAAAGAAAACCATTATAGACATAGATTCTTCCAATGCTTTTATTACCTAATACAGTCAAAAGTCGTTAATTCGGACACCCATAATCCGGACCTCAAAGCTACAAACTTTCTGTGCGTGCGTCGCGTTGACGCATGCACGTAAGACCTCTACGGCTGCGAATTTGCGTGTGCGCGTGCACAAAATACGTTCACGAATGCGCGTTACGGACGTTATAAGCTAAACTAAAATTATCTAATTATCTATTTCAGTTAATGTTGCAGATTGCGTTGTTCCTTAATCTTCGAATTGGATCCGGCTTATTATTTTTTGCAGACTGTTAGAGCAATTTTATAAAAGTAAGCTAGAACTTTCGATTATGTCAAATAGAATTTCCGATTTATATTTACTAATATGTAATGGATTTACAAAGCGAAAGTATGTTTCGGAGTCCATTAAACAAAAAGTGGAATTGCTGCAAAAAATGGATAAAGGCATATCCTTTGTTTATCTAAACTTTAACGTTTGTTTATCTAAACTTTGTTTATCTTTAACGCCATGGCACGCAATGAAGTGGAAGTTGATCTGTCAGCACTATCCTTATCTTCAGGGCAGATGTTTTATTTTATTTGGCTTATAATTGCTTACTAAATGTAGTATTTTGTTTCGATGTACTTCGTCTTTGATATGATTTAAATCAAATGCCTCGTCATTATAATTCGCTTCCGATAGCGAAGAAAGTGACGGAGGTTATTGAAAACGAAAAAAAATTCGATTGACAAATTAGTGGGTATTCTCGACACAGCAATTATAGGACTTCAACAGCAGAACTTTATAACTGAACAAGAAATGATGTCTGTTTATAGAATTAAAGAGAATGTATCATCACATAAAAAACGAAGCAACTTAAACAACTTACATTGAAAGAAATGTTTAATAAAGTAAACAAATAAATATTAAGCTTTTTTTTTGTAAATTTTGATACACTTTAGATCATAATTGTTCTTTATTTCGTAAATTACGGTTTCATATTTTTAATTTTATAATTTCTGCATGCCATTTTACCAGATTTAAACTGATGATCTATAATCCGGAAAAATCGATAATCCGGAATCGGCGAAGTCCTGACGAGTCCGGATTAACAACTTTTGACTGTATGAGAATTTCTAATGCCTCTAGTAGTGTACAGGTTTTACTTTCATTAGCCAATTTTAACAATTAACTACATAAGCCGTCATATTTCATTATGATAGTGATGCTATCTATTGATGAGAATAGCAAATACTGCAGTTTCTGTCACCTAGTATTGATCCATGGATCTTTTGATTCATTGACAAATTTTAAAGTGACTGGATTAAAAACATACTCCAAATCCAGAAACTAAGTATGTCATATCTTTTCTCTGAACGCTCAGAATCTGTACATATTCCTTCCATACTGTGAAAACCAATATTCTGATTATACAGTAAGTGAAGTGGTTACCAAGAGGTGTGTTAAATCATCAGGACTTCCCATGCTAATTCTAGAGCCTTGATGGCTTGTAGAATTTGCATGGGAAGTCCTGAATGATTTGAAAAGGATAAAAAAGGAATCGAGTTCTAATACGTTAAGCTGTATTAGAACCTTTTTCTTATCCTGATTGATACTGATCTATTAGCCATCACTTTTATAAATTAAATTCTTCTCAAATATGTATACAATGCTTATCTTCTTACTACTTACAATGAAGAATCACATTATTATATAAATCATGTCCATTGGTCAAGCAGTTATCTGTCTTTAAAATTAGTAATAGTTCTGCAGGATACAGAAGTTGCTCTAATCTTTTGAATAAAATGAAAAGTCTTGTGGTGCAAGCTTGTTTTTCATCTAATGATTCAGTATGTCAAATGGTGTACCAAAGAGGCTTTCGAAAACAACAAAATTAATTTACAAGAAAAATATAACAAAATAAAATAGTTAAGGATATATTATTAGGCATCTCTTCCTTCCACATCTTACATCATTTTAGCTGATTTATGCAGGAATTATATCACAGCTTGTTCTTTCCAGTTCCCTCTAGGATATATCTTCTTTGTGAGATCCATCTTCTGCATTAGTGTGGCCAATTTATTTTCATGCATAAAAAGGACTGGGGTTTTGCTGATGTAGTGTTTCCATTGACCTGCAGTAACTGATATGCAGATTGCAAATCCAACAAATGTCTAAGCACTCTTCAGCAAGCTGTTGTTGGTTTTTATATTTTCTGCTGAAAGTGAACTTGTAGAATAAGAATCAGATGAATTAGGAACAACTAAAATTAATTTTCACTTGATGAGCAGATGTGTGGATGTTTCAAACAAAGTATTATGATCTCTTTCTCTTAAGTAGTGTCTGCATTTTACAGACAACATTTCATGTGCATAATTCTGTGTAAATCAAGGTTAAGATTCAATTGGACTTCATTTAGTTGAGATTCTTTTTTTTTATTTAACTGACTGACCAAGTAAATTTTCAGCTAATATAATATTGTTATAAATTTTACACGTGTTTAGATAATTTTAGTGCAATTATATGTGAAATTGTTGTATTTTTTTTTTTTTTTTTTTTTTTTTTTTTTTTTTTTTTTTTTTTTTTTTTTGTATAATGTAACATGGCAATCTAAAGAAACGATGCTTTATCAGAAAAGTAAGAAAACAGGGACAAGTCTATTTAACATTGAATAAATGGCTACCTCACTAATTTGTCTAGATATCGCCAAGCTGGCAACAGGCCAATTTTGGTGAGAAATTTCTAAAAGTTGCGGACCATTTGGCAACATTTGGGTTTAGCCTCTGTGTAACTGTAATGGGTATTGTAATTGAATAACTGTAATTAATGTATATATGCAACTTGTAATTGCATCTGGACCTCAAGCTCCTCGAAATTATATAACACTGGAGAGAGTATCAGTTTCTCAGTAGCTGACAGTTGTTAGTTAAGAGTGACTTTAGAGTATTGAAATTTCCATAAGAGCTTCACCTTTGCATTCTCTTGTGTTTCATGTTCATATTGAAGTTTAACTACTAATTGTGTGTGCTGTGGGGCACTGTGAAGAGCTGTATGAGTATTTTTGTGGAAAGTTCCAGAACTGTGAAGTGTTTCTGTTGATAAAATAAATTTAATATAACTATCATCAGCTCTGTGTGCATTGATTCTATTATGAATTGTATGCACGCAACAATATGACTATTTTCACTTCTTAATTATTTCTCAAATTCTTCCTGGTTCTCATTTATTGCATTAAAGAGCTTACTAATTAAACCTCTAATTCCATGTAGGTGGAATTTCATTTTCTTAAATTTGAATGCTGTATCCTTTTGTTATGAATGCAATATAAATTGAAATAAATTTCCATATATAATCAAATATCAATTCAAATATGAATTCATATGTTCACAGATTTGAATTTGGTGGCTTAGAACCTATAAAACAACAGATTTATTATACAATTATTTATTTCTTAGAATTCTAACAGAGTGGTAAGGTAAAATCAGTTGCCTTTTCTTTTGCAGATTCTTCTTTCCTTGATCATCATTCCTGTAAATTGAACGCATCATGACCAAGTTTGCAGTACATATTTACATCATAATTATATTATTAATTACTATCTTTGTTATCATCTGAAAAGAATATGTAGACATCAAATAAACACTAATTTTTATCCTATCAGTTGCCAAAGATTATCAATTTGTATCTTGTCACTATTCTGTAGCAGTCTGCAATGGGAATTTTTACACTAATTTGCTGTAGTTCAAATGTGATTATATTTCATGGAAGTCATTCATTCAGTTTACTATCTACTCTGACATTATTTGAAGAAGAAACATACCGAAGAAGAAGTTAAAGAGTTTGAAGAAGTTATATGCTTAAGCGTCATACTTGACAACTCACATTTAGGCTTTATTTTGCAAAAGATAAATTTAATATTTCCACACCTAACTTAAGACTTCTTCTTTTAAAACATAGCAATTTTTCACTTCAGAATAAAATATTATTTAAAACAGTAATCTCTTGTTTTACTTCTATCCCACAGGGGATTGTGCTTCAAAAATGAATCCCTACAAAAGTCAAATTCCACAAAATAAAAACCTTTAGGGAAATAGTGACTGCTTCTTGGTTTATAAGGAATAGTACATTGCATACCAATTTAAAAACTGAAACCATCAAATAGTACATTTTGTAAACTGCTCATAATTTTTACTGCAAATTTAAACATCATGAGAGCACTATAATTTCAGTTCAGAATTACAAACCATCACTCCAAGAAAACCACACATACCCAGCTAATGCTCTTCTTTTGTAACAAGTAGCATCTCATCTTTTCCTCAAAGAAAAATTTAAGTGTTTCCAACAAACATCCCACTGCTTATTATTACACCTGACTCCGCTATGGGCAAAGGAATAGAGGGGGCTTCTTCCCAGAATTTAAAAAGACTGAAATGTTCGTATGTGTTTGAGTGCTATATAGGCATAACTTTTCTGCGAGCAAGTGAAATCACCGTGTATCCTTACTAAATAGCTTCATGAGTGTTTATCCATTCTAGATTGAGAACTATAATATCTTACAAAACTTTTTATGAAAGAATGTTTTGTAATATCTTTCATTTATTTAATTCTGTAAACTCATTGTCACGTTAAAAGTTATATTTTTATTTTTTAATATTAATGTGAAAAAAGATAACCTTTAATCCCCATTGTTTTTAAACAGACCTACGATTTTACTGCTGATGATCTCAAAGACTTAGGTGAAATAGGAAGGGGAGCATTTGGTACAGTGAATAAAATGATACATAAAATGAGTGGCACAATAATGGCTGTAAAGGTATGTAATTTTCTTACATATTTTTTTAATAGTTATATGTAATTAATATGTAATATATATTAACCTTAAACCAAAAAGGAAAATTATTAATTACAAAAAATTTTAACTTCTGATTTTCTACATTCTGTTTGTAGAGGATTAGGTCAACAGTAGATGAAAAGGAACAGAAGCAACTTCTAATGGACTTAGAAGTTGTTATGAAGAGTAATGACTGTATATACATTGTCCAGTTTTTTGGTGCAATATTTAAAGAAGTAAGTTGATAGCTATGTATATTTTAACTGTAAAAATATCAACAATATCATTAAGCAATATCTATAAACAGTACCTATAGAATATCTCTACCAGTATCTATGAGCTATATTTTTAAAAATAAAATTTAACTTTTAAAAATGTTGTATTTCTCATCTTAAAGAGGATTTGTAGTAATTTTTCAAGGCTGTTATTGACATGATTTTTAAATATAGCCACCACTGAGCTCTTCTAATTAATCATTATGCTAATGAAAGTTTGACAGTTACTTGTATAACAGAAATTTGTAAGGTACTTTATTTTCTATTTTAGGGTGATTGTTGGATTTGCATGGAACTAATGGATACATCTTTAGATAAATTTTACAAGATTGTACATGAAAAGCTCAATCAAAGAATACCCGAAAGTTTTCTTGGAAAAGTTACTATGGCAGTATGTTTCTGAGCTAAAAATTCTTCATATAAAGCATTTAGTTCTATAAAAATTTATATGTATTCATAAATGTTTGTGAAAACGTCATTTGAGTATTTACTTATTATCCCATTGACTGTGAAACTGTTACCAAGCAGTGCGATTTTGCATCAGTTGTGGGTAAATAACAACATGCTCATAACATCTGTGCTTTTGTTTGATGAACCCTGATTGATTCTCAGTAAGCCACATTTTGTTTTTATGAGCAAAGATACAAGTTAATTTTTATTGATGTATTTTTCTTGCATTTTCAGAAAATAATTAAAACTTAATACCTGCCTTCTATGAAATATTAAGCTGCAGATTATTTTCAAAGTTATGGTATCCTATTATGAAAAAATAAGTGTATTAACACAATATGATCAGCTGAGTATGGCTGATGAAACACTAATAGATTGAAACAATTACCTGAAAGAAGTTTGTAGTCATAGCATTCTAAACAGAGCTTTCTTAAAATCAGAGTGCCCAACAAAACTGTAAAAACTTACAAAAGTCTTTTTATGAAGCGTAAAAATGAAACAGGTTGAATACTCATTCTTTATTAAATAAATAAGCATCAGTTTCTTGAGAATTCTGTGAAATAATTGGTGCAACTTTGACAGGATCTTGGCCAACTTTCAGGTCAAGGGGAAAATACGAAAATACCATGATATGCAGCAAGAAATCTAATGTCAGGAACATATTAGTCACAAGTCGATCAGTGAATTCTAGAGTTTAGTTATTCATTGCTATATTCTTATTTTGATATTATGCAGTTCTAAAATCATAGCACTAGTCATTATTATTCAGGGTTTTTTTAAAACATTCTGCAGTTAACACTTAATTTAAATACCAAGATCCTTTTCAAGACTTTTAATTTGTAAATAATTTTTTTAAGTTGCATAATAATTTCACCAGAGAAATAGAAGGAAAAGTCAAAATTTTCTGGGAAGTTGTATTAAGAACGTAGATTTTACAGTGTCAGATTTTCATTAAATTCTCAAAATTATCTATGAAATGCAAACAGTAATTTTGATGGTGTTTTTGCTCATTTGAACCATCTTTACATTTAAATACTGTATAGTAGAATTTCTTTTACAATTTTATTAATTTATTGATTTGTAAAAAAATTTTAGGAAAATTTTAGTCACAAGACTTCAGGCAGTTTTATAAAATTTCCTCAGGTCAATTAATATGTTGCAAAATTTGGAATACTATACCATTAAAAATTAAAGCCACACGCTTTTATTCTAATTTTTCACATGAAATTCAGATTTTGTGTAAATTCAAAATGAATATTTTAAGAACTGATTTCTGCCAGTTTTGCGCTCTCCAGAGATCGGGTCTTGAATAAATAATGTTTAAAAAAATTAACATAGTTTTAAAACATATGTTTTTTTAATATCTATTTTGAAATTTCTACTTTTTCTAATTTTTTCAGCTGTATAGTCCTACTGGGCTTAACTTTGAAGGCAGCTTTTTGCTAAATATTTTCCCAATTTTTCAGTTTTAAACTTCTATTGTAGCTTAAATTTGAAGTAATACAGTATATTCATGTTATTAATATCTCTTAATTTATCTCATTTCATTAGAGTTGCTTTCAGTTATTTATATTTCCATGTATTTATGTTGGTATCATCACTAATAATAATGATATTGCATTAATAATATTTACTTGCCTCCTGTTATAATGTGAATTTAATTATCTACATTCCAAGTATTTTTTCCTATTTTTAAAAGTTTTCATGCATCTCTTTCCATTTGTTGATTTATTAATTTTGCTGATTTGAGTAAATGCGTTAACTTATATCTGTGATTTGCTTATAATATTATTACAATGGCTGTTATAGAACTCTGCTATGTAATATGCTCATAGAATAATCCAGATACTCTTCAAATCACTAATGTGCTAAGTAATACTATGTGCACTCCTTCTGAATATTAGAAAGCCAAATTTAGATGGGTTGTGCATTTTTGCCTTATTAGGATGTGCATTCAGAAAATTCTCATTCGTGCCCAGCGGTCTAGTGGTCTTCAGAAAAAAATGTTCCAGCTTAAAATGTGTATATGCATCACCCGTTCTCTGAATGCAATCTCTAGTGATGCATGGATGGGATGCCCGGCTGTAAGAGACCTTCTTAGGGAATGCGTATATGGGACGACCGTCTTGAAAGGGTTAAGCATCATTACAGACTTAATGATACTGCTATAGAAACTCTAAGAAAACAAGAAATTTTCATTGAATCACATAAGCACCATTTTATTCTTTAAAATTTCGTCATCTCGGGTATCTTGAAAGTTTCTTTACTAAAAATGTCAGTAGGTTTATTCATAAAGAAGTTATCGATGCACTGTTTGACAGTCTCTAAAGAAGTGAATTCCAGGTCATTCAGAAAATTTTGAAGTGATCTGAAGAGATGAAAATCAAGGTCTAGTGAACATGATGGGTGACGCAAAATAGCTCACTCTTACTAAGTTTTTCTCAGACACTTATCAAAATAGGAAACTAAGCATTATCATGATGGACAACACTTCGATGATTTTCAATTCTGACTGCTTTGCTACAATTTTACTATTAAAACTGCTATCTGGAAAAAAAAAAAAAAATTTTTTTTGATTTATTATCTGATTTGGTGGCAACATTTCATAGTATGCAGTTCTTCTGTAGTCCCACCATATACCAAACATTAATTTTTTGGGATGCAGTCCCCATCTCGATGTTACAAAGGAGGTTCATTTGGCTTACCCCATTATCGTTTTTCTAGTAACATTATTGTATAGTATCCACCACTTATCTCCAGTAATGAACTGTTTAAATAAGGAGCTTTTGTATTTTATTATCAAAGAATCACTGCCAAAAGTCGAGCAAGCATATTTTGCTCTGTTAAAGTATGGGGTACCCATACATCATAGCCCAGTTTATATACCCATTCTTCTTCAAATAATCATGTACTGTGTGTTTTTTGGAATATTTATTTTATCGAATAGTTCCTGAACTGTATAATTGGGATTTTCAGCTGTAGCCTTTTTTAATAGATCCTTTTTTACACAGGATAGTTGTCCAGAGTAGACATTATTTTCAAGACTGAAATTTCCACTCTTAAACTTTTTAAACCATCTTCGACCTGTGATATCAGAAAAAAAAAATAATTTTTCATGTATAGCACAAATTTTACAAGCATCTGACTAACATTTTGTTCTCCTTTTTTTAAAAAAAGAGCATAATACAAGCAGAAAAGATTGTATTTATACATCCATATCCATCAAGGTTGCTCCGTATCAGCTGTAACAAAATAATTCAAAGAAAGCATCCTTCAGTTGTAGAGGCATTAGGTATTTTTGGAAGTAGGCAAGATGAAAAATGAGCAAACGCCTTTGCAAGAAATTGAACCGCGCACCTCTGGAATACATGCCTAGCGTGCAGACCATAACACCATGAAGGCATGCCAAGAAGGGGGGAGAAACACCTTATATACTCCCCCTTTTAAAGGGCAACTGGGGTTTTTAGGGGATCCAATTGCCAAATCCTGGGTTGAGAGAATCATAATCCACCATCCTTTTAGTTCAGGCGCCACTGTGGAGACATTAGGTATTTTTGGAAGCAGGGCAAGCCGGGAATCGAACCGCGGACCTCTGGAATACACGCCCAGCATGCAGACCACCACACCACAAAGGCATGCCAAGAAGGCGGGAGAAACACCTTATAGAGTTTGAAAAGTAACAGATTTTGTATTGAATGGGGTAAAAAGAAAGCATACCTGTGAACTCTGTAACTACTTAATTTTGATAATCAAATTTACAGTGTTTTATAGATGTTCTGTAGGTGCTCCTCAGGTGACATGGCAAATATCTATGTGGTATTCCAGTTCCTGCTATACTCGGGATAGAATATCCTTTGCTCATGATTAATCACTTCAGTTATTCACTTTTTCAGTTGCTGAAAGTCCTGGGGAAATGAAGGCATAGATCTTGTATATCTTTAACAAAACCCCATAGGAAAAAATATCAAAGGGTTAGATGAGGATCTCAGTGGCCAACATAGTGGCCACTGAGATACCCAAAGTGGAATATTGCTTGACCCAGCATGGTCAGTTTGCTGATTCAGGTACTCTTGTACTTTTTTTATGCCAATGTGGTGGAGCATTATCTTTCTGAAGTTGGGAACCACTTCCTTAAACTGAGAGAACAATCCCTCTGATAGCATATCTTGGTAAATGCACCCATTAACTGATTTTTCCTGGTAGGGGGTAAAAGGCCAAAAACACAACTGTGAGAAATGGGGCAGAAAATGTTCACCTTTGGAGAATCAGGCTCATGTTCTGTTATACCATGTGTATTTTCTATGCCCCAAAACTAAATTGGTGATTAACTCTGCCAGAATGGGAAATTTATCCATATACACAAGTCTGTTCACAAAACCATTCATCTCCATTTTATCTTCATTACCAGTTGTTCTTCATTATTCATTCTTTTTTTAACAGAAAGCTTTACGCAACAGTTTGTCAGAAAGCTTTAACCCTGCACTACCTGAAAGGTGTATGGTCGAAATTATGGATATTTCTGCAACGCATAGCACACTGTTACATGAGGCACATTGAGTTCAGAACTCGCATGGCACATTGATTTTGTGGGACTTTGTAAAAATATTTCATGAATTTTTTTCAACCATTTCACTTTTGGCTGCTGTTCATTCTGGGCTTTACTCAAGAAGCCCACGTCCTGAAACTTCTTTACTCGCCTTTTGATGTGGTGGTTCTTAACCAAATTTTGTGTGAAAGTGTCTTTGGATGACAATAGACGAACATGTTTGGATGTATTCCAGAATATAGTACACTTTCTCCTGCATGGTTGGTGCCATTTTGATTAACAGTGCCTCTAGCAGTAATTTCATTACTGGAAGATTTTTCTCTGTTGCCAGATAAAACATGTTTTAATTTAGAATTAATCTGTTTTGTCTTATCATCTCCAGTTGTTCTTCTTGTTCATTCGTTTTAATTTTTTCAGAAAGCTTTTCACTTGAGGTTGGTCGAAATTATGGAATTTCTGCAACGCATAGCACACTGTTACATGAGCACATGAGTTCAAAACTCGTGGCACATGATTTTGTGGGACTTTGTAAAATATTTCATGAATTTTTTCAACCATTTCATTTTGGCTGCTGTTCATTCTGGGCTTTACTCAAGAAGCCACTCCTGAAATTCTTTACTCGCCTTTTGATGTGGTGGTTCTTAACCAAATTTTGTGTGAAAGTGTCTTTGGATGACAATAGACGAACATGTTTGGATGTATTCCAGAATATAGTACACTTTCTCCTGCATGGTTGGTGCCATTTTGATTAACAGTGCCTCTAGCAGTAATTTCATTACTGGAAGATTTTTCTCTGTTGCCAGATAAAACTTGTATGATTTTAATTTTAGAATTAATCTGTTTTGTCTTAACAAATCAATTAAATAGTTTGTACTGTGCTATTCTTTTTGTTGCATTCAATATAAAACATCCTCTATATGATAACTGTCCATATCTGGTTAAAGGATACTGAGTATTTACTATGCTTAGTATTATTTAACTAGTTGTATACGAATGTCCATGCCTTTAAACAGGGGCCCACTAAAGTCCAGTACCACCCGTTAAACTGCTGAACGGCTGCTACTATAGTCATAAAATTGGTGTCTATGTATGGTACTATGGTTGTACGTATAGTACTATGCGCTACTAGAGGAGATAGCTTACAGCACCATCTGGTGAAAAACAACAGAGTTAGCATCCCTTACAAAATAGGAAGAAAAAGTGAATTACAAAGCTGTAGAGTATCTTGGATTTAATACGAAAAGACACCTTGTGAAGATAAATGCTAAGAACAGAACGTTTTAAGCATGCATTTGTTTGTTTACGATTTCCTACACTGTGACATCATGAAATGATCTTGGAAATTAAAAAACAACTAGTTACCACAAGATACCTTTATTTTCGATGGTCAAACTTTTCTTTGTCAACTGATATGCACATCTGGACCCTTGTTAAAAGTTGCACGAATTGTAGCATAGTGAGTGACATGTTTGCGCAATAAATAACTGTAATGCGTCATTGAAGGTCCCACAATGCTTGTGGAGGTGTCATATACACCTGCTGTTTGAGGAATCCCCACAGGAAAAGTTCATTGGATTCAGGTCAGGTGAACGTGGAAGCCACTCTTCAAAACCACCATACCCGATTATTTGTTTTCCAAATTCCTCCATCAGGTACTGCTTCGCTTGTGACATCTTGTGCGTAGGTGCGCCATTATGTTGGAACCATCCATTCCAGATTTGAAGCAATAGCAGATTCTCAATAAAATCAGGTATTAAGTCTTGCAGAAGTTCTAAATATTGTGTGGCTGTTAACATACCCTGATAAAATATTGGCCCTATTAGCCTGTTGGTATAAATTCCATACCAAATATTAATCGAAAACCATATTTGACGTTGAACTTCGGCAGAACATGATGGATTTTCCCCACTGCCCTATAATGGGTGTTCTGTCTGTTGTACATTTTACTTCACGAAAAGCATGCCTCATCCGTCCATCTGCCAAGAATGTTGGCTGGACCTCTATCTGATCCATGACAAAGATGCACATTGCAAAACGTCTCTCGGCATCCCCGTCAGTAATGCCTGATTAGGTATTGGCCAGTATGGATGAACACCTAATTTATTTAGGACTTTCCAAATGCAATTTTTTGAGAGGTCACAATTTTCTTTTACCTCTCTTGTGCTGCTGTTTGGATATGTAAGGTCGCGTGATAAGACATCTTCCATGTGTACTTTCCACCCTACCTTAGCTTGTCTGCCAGATCAAAGTCAGCTAGTCATGCAGCTTGTCTCCCTTAAAGATTTTGCAACTTGTAGGATGGTTGTGTGAGAAGGATGCAGGAAAGCATTGCCGATACAACTGTGCTGCCGTGTTTTGTGCCCACATTCACTGTAAATTAGAACCATCTCACAATAATCATTTTTGGAAAATTGTTTCATGAACATGACCTTCAACATACAACCCCTAGGAGTTATCTCTTTTATAGCTGTCTCAGGTGAGCATGTGTGATGTTTCATAGACAATTTACATACCACACAAATTCACACACCAAGCTCAAGTTGTGTTGAGTTGATATGTTTTGTTACACAATCTGCATGTTATCTACACTGTTTTTAAAAACAATCAGTACAAGAATGCACCCCACTTGTTCTCTCGATTGTTAATTACAAGCGATACCATTGTGCCACGATACGGGCTCGTGTTTCATCCAAAAGATAATCCTTTCTCTTTTGTTCAATTTTCGTGGTGTCGCAGTTTCGGAAATCGCGAAGAAACAAATGTCCATTTTCAGCATTCATGTTTTTAGTATTCATATCTACAAGGTTGCTTTTTGTACTAAATCGACGATGCTCTACAACTTTGTAATTCACTTTTTCCCCCTCTATCTCGCATTGTTTTCGAGATAGGGACGCTAACTCTGCCGTTTTCCGCCAGGTGTAAACTATCTCATCTAGTAGCACATAGCCTAAACACTATATCTAAACACCACTTTTATGAGTGTGGCTGTAGCCCTTTGACAGTTAAACAGGTGGTACTGGACATGAGTGGGCACCCTGTATATAAAATTATGCCTTTATGTATGTCTTATCTTTGTGTCTTTATGTATAAAATAATGTGGGTAATTATGTAAAGTTATTTTGTTTTGTGAAGTAATAGATAAATAAAAAAATTTGTAAAAATTTTAGTTTAAAAATTATTATTATTTCATTATGTCTGAACTTAAATGTCTCAAATTTGAGGGCACTTTTCACTATAATCTAACAGATTTTACCTAATCATTATATTTGATACAGCCAAGGTGTGAATATTTATGCTGTGTTTACAATAAACATTTATCTTTATTATGTAAAATATGTGCAATAAATATCAAAAGTTTAATTATATTACTATCTTATGTTATATTTTGCCTAATTTATCATTTTTTCTCCTTCTGTTTCAGACTCTAAAGGCTTTAAATTATCTTAAAGAAAAATTAAATATAATTCATAGAGGTGAGTCTAATTTTACTGTGTCTTATAGATCCAACCCGTTCAGCAGTCAGCTGTGTTGAACAACACATGTGAAGTGCCTGTATTCACTTGGTTAAGTCTTTGAATAATTAATTATCAGTGTGTATTATCATTTATATTGAGGTAATTGGGGAAGTAGATATATAAGGAGGAAGTTCATTTGATTTGCATTTATAGTAGGAAGTAATCCCATGAATCTCAGCATGAAATAATCCTATGGGCTGAAAAACATCAGAGTATGCACAAAGTAATGGGAGATGAATGCCCTAAGTAAAACCAGCTATAGGATTGGTTCTGCTGTTTTAAACATGGTGAATGGGATGCCATCAAACACTATAGCAAAAGTGAAACTGAAAGTGGTGAAGTGTGAAATTGAGAGTTGGTTCAAAACCAAGAAGCTTTCATACATCCAGAATCATGATTCATGATGTCATTTTGGCTCACACTGGAAGTGGGTTTCACTTAAACTGATTTCAGAGCGGTTGTCGATATGCATGCATTATTGCAGAACAAATTTGCAAGCTTAAGTAAGAAGGAAACTGTCTGGAACATATCAGTGACCATTGATATGAATAAATTTAGCTACCAACCCAATACAAATCTTGTGAAACTGTGGCTTGTAATTCTGATAAGTATGGACTCCTTTATTTATACTCACCATGGATTATCCCCCAAGCTGTTGCTTACTACATTTTTCTTGGATTACTTTGACACCTGTTACTACAAACCATTAGAGACACAACAAACCATTAGATAAATGTATGTTCATTTCTTACAGAACACAAATTAAAATATATTGTGGAATTTTTTTTTTTTTTGACTTCTGATCTTGACATATGGCTATAAATACCATATTTCCCAGATGTAAGCATGTATGATTATGGTTGCATCCATCAGTCAAAAAGATAATTTGTGATTCGCTGTGTTGGATATGACATCGGATTAAGAAATTCAGTTTGAGAAACGAAGCCAGTAATGAATGGTAGTTCGAAACCACTGAATGCTGCATTGATATGATGGATAATCTCTATTATAATAGTAAACACAGTCCCATCCCTTCAATACTTTTATTGCTATTGCACTAAACATGCCAGTGGGTTTGATCTGAATGATGATAATATTCATCTTCTTTTGATTATGCTTATCACATATATGAAATCCAGTGGCATGCCATGGTTTTTACTGAAGGGGATTAGACATGATGATGAGCCTGTCTAGGCACAGTTGGGCACATACAAAGGTCTTAGAGAGATTAAGTTCAGTTCTAGTGTTTATTTATGTTCACAGAAATCCTATTCACTTTCGGCAGTGGTCATTTTAAGGAGGTGATCATTATGAGAAGATTTATTATATTTTGTAGATAAAGACTAATGAGTACAATGATGGTTAAAATGCTCTGACAAATAGAGCACAATGCCAGCAAAACGGTTACAGCCGAAAACATCGTGGACGAAAACGTCGCGGAGAAAACAATGCAAGGCAAAACGTCGTGCTACAAAACATCGTGGGAGAAAACATCGCAGCTCTAAAACATCGTGGTACAAAACATCGTCGTCGAAAATAAAGCGGTTCAAAAACTTCGCAGTTTAAAAATATCGTGGTAAAAAATAAAGTGCCTACAAATCATCGCATGACGATGACATGGCAGACATGCTTTTTTCAGGTTTTAATGACCGTAAATGGATATTCCCATTATGATTTGTGAGCGCAAGATGTGAAGAAGGATAATTTTTACTTTCACATTTTTTTATTAACTAATAAATTTTTGCTGAAAAAGTAAGAAGGAAACTTAATTAAATGCAACTTACGGATTATACTTTTTATGAAAAATTACCAGTAAAAACTATAAAAAATGATTTATTAATGGTCTTTGTTAGTTAACTATGTCGGTTTAAAATTCTATTAAGTGTTATAAGTTGCATTAATTTTCTATGCTTAAGTTTCTTTCTTATTTTCTCAGCAAAAATTTATTAGTTAATATAAAATATGAAAAACAAATTATCTTTCTTTCCATCTTGCGCTCACAAATTATTATGGGAATATCTATTTACAGTTCTTAAAGTCTGAAAAAAGCATGTCTGCGATGTTATAGTCACGCGATGATTTGTAGATACTTTATTTTTTAACCACGATATTTTCGACGATGATGTTTTCAAACTGTGAAGTTTTTGAACCGCTTTATTTTCGACGATGATGTTTTGGAACTGAGATGTTTTCTCCCGCGATGTTTAAGAACTGCGATGTTTTCTCCCACGATGTTTTGTAGCACGACGATTTTACCTTGCGTTGTTTTCTCCGCGACGTTTTCGTCCGCGATGTTATCGGCAGACACCAGCAAAACAGGCTACTTTTTATTAATAATTTTGAAATTATATAATATTCCTTTTTGGAATAATGGGCATAATGTTTTATGCTTGTATAAATGAGAACATGTGGAGTAGGGATACCTTTTGCTTAGCTGCCATCTGTGAAATATGTAAAATCAGGAGGTTCAATCATAAAATTTGAGAGTTTCTGGGAATTTTCATGCTATGTGGCAATACTATTTAAAAAAAAAAAAAAAAAACTCAAAATTTATTTAATTCGCTTTATAACGCAATTCAGATTATTCAGGTGTTTATAATGATTCTGGCATAAATTTTATGGTCTTTGCTTAATTTCATTTGGGGGGGGGGGTAATTTAAGTAATAAGCAGTTTTGTTACACTTTTATAATAAGAAAATTCTCAGTAGGGAAAGAGAGAAATTTATCAAAGTATTTTTAAATATAGTAAAAATAAAATTAATAATTGATACATATACTATTGTGTGGATAAACTTAGTAATCTACCACATAATTGTAAGATACTTTCACCTTTATCGTGGGCCTTTGTATGTAATTGGAATCACATTCAAGTAGCAATCTGGAGGCCTGGAATTCAAATCCCATCCCGGCACTCTACATTTTTTTTTTTGTCTCTTGCTTCTAAAAAGTAAAAAAATGCTCTATAGTGGTGTAAACTATAATGTGGTTGACAATAACTCATCTCTGTCAGAATTTGGAGCCAGGTCCAAACACCCTGTGCTTTTATGGTGTAATTGGAAGCACATCTGGCTAGCATCTGAAAGGTCCAGAGTGTGAATCCTGGTGAAATCATTGTATATGTTTTATGTTTTTTGTTCCAAAATGGATCTAATGACCATTTTAAAAGAACTTAAAATTTATTTAATTCACTTTATAACACAATTCAGTTTATTCAAGTGTTTATAATGATTCCGGCATAAAATTAAATACAAATATTTAATGATTAAATATTGTTTGAATCTTCATAAAAGTGTTATAAATGTCTATAGTATATTAAGGCAATTTGATCTAAAATTTAATAAAAAAAAATGTGCTGAAGATCACTAAGGATAGTAGAATGAAATTTATACAATTTAAGCTTCATTAATTTAGTAATTAAACTTTGCAAAGTTTAATTTTATTGCTGAAAACACTTTCAGTAGTAAAAGCTAAAAATGAAGAATTGGGAAATTAGGCAGTTAGATCGTTAGATGTGTCAAAAACCGAGAGAGTTTTCATCTATACTCCGATCGTTATTCTTGTAACGTTTGGAAACATATTATGCCTCAAAAAAACTTGACAGACAAACAGTCAGGACTAAGGGTTATACAAAGATAGTTGATGAGCATGCTGTCATAAAATGGTATCAGCTGTTATTTGTGCATGCTCTGTTGTCGTTTCTTGTATGAGGACTAGCTCTTTGTACTGCTTTCTTCTCCATAGTTTAAACTTTTTGCATCAGCGTATGTTATTTCAAATTCTCTCATGCACCATAAAAACGCTTTTATGAAGAAGAAACTAAAATATAGCATTAAAATTTAAATTAATTTTGTTTTGAAAAGTCATGAAGAAATCAAAGTTTCTTATAACCTACAGCCATTAGTTAACAGCAAATGTAAGGCAATTAGGAGAACAGGTGAAAGCCAGGTAGTCAGTGTTTTCATAGAACTAGCGAGACCCAAGCTCTTCCTATTCTTGCATAAATCTGACTATTTTTGAATAGCTTACAGTATAAAAAGAGGTAATGCAGAGGCTGTTCACACATTTTTTAGATGATGTGTATTGTATTCACAAAACTAAATTACATAAAAATTCTTGTGTTTTAAATGTTTTATTTGACATCCCTTATTCTGAACTATCTTTCAACACCACAATTTCCAGGGTAATAATGCCTTTTGAAGTGGCAGAAGAGGTATTCTATCCCATTCCTCCCGAACAGCTTTCCAGAGTCCTGTTAGGGTTTTGGGACAACATTTGGATAATGCAGTTTTTAAAAGTCCGAAAGCACAAAAATCCATAGGTGACACATCAGGAGATTTAGTAGGGATATCAGTGAAGGGTATGGCCTTATTACCAGTTTTTTGTTCCATTTCTTTTAGGAAATTTACAGTGGATTTTGATATGTGACTTCTAGCTTTGTCGTGATGGAGTCTCACAGATTGATGGCACTGTGGGTAAAGCGATGGTATTTCATTCAGAAAAATTGGTGATAAAATATGTTCTTGATAGTATTTGGAGTTAATCTTGACATTTGTTTTTGCACTCTCTTTATTTTTAACTTCCCATTATAAGAAAAACCAGCAACAATCATGAGTCCCTTAGAAAAACTTTCTTTTGATTCTTTGAACCATGTACTTAAATCTTTTTCTCCCCTTTTATGATAATAAAGCGGCCCACCAGCGGCCAAGCGGTAAAGACGCTGAACACTGGTAGTTCGGTCTGAGGTTCGAATCCCGCAAATGGGCTGGCTGCATGGCCGTTTTCGTGGTTTTCCCCATGTGTAACGTGTATACGAGCCAGTTTCCCTTAGAAAGTCCTCCACGAAAGGCATCCCTCCCTTTAGGCAGATAGCCCTCGTGTGCTTTGCCATAATTAAATACACCTTACACCTTTATGATAATAAATGGCTCTTTTTTGTTACAGTCATTTAAATACACCCA